ATAACTAATAATTACTAATAAAAAGTCCCCAGGCCAAGAAGGTCACCTTAATACCGAAAAAAAAAAAAAAAAATAAAATTTTATATACTTATATATATATAAATATATATATAGTATATTAGTTAATTAAGATATTACACTTAATTTTTTATTATATAATTTTTATAAGTATTTTGGTAACTATAACCAGCGGTGAATATCACTGATCACGTGATTATACTAATTTATATATGATCGACAAATAAAAATTTCTATATGATTTAACAAAACAATGCTATGTTACACTTGCTGATTATAGAAATTTTTATATGGTGCAGTTTTAACACTAAATTAACAAGAGCGTGAAATTTTTTAGACTGGTATTACTAGTTTTATAATGCTTGCTGGCTCCACTTCATTTATACCAAATGTCTATATAAATATACAATATTACAAAAATACGCCTAACTAATATCTCAGAGCAAGAAGTTTAGTATATACTATAAAGCTTAAAGAAAGTAATTATTATAGCTAATGCTAATCATATTTATTAAAGTAATTAATTATTAGTTTTATTAGTTTTTAACGTTAATCAAGTAATAGCATTAGCTATAACAATGTCTAAGTTAGTATCAAAAGCTTAATTTATAATAGATTAGACTTGATTAGAACAATAGATAATATAGTGCAAGATATAATTAATAAAATTTTCTATCATGCTCATACTCTCAATATATTGCAATTCAACACATAATTAACTAACCATTCTTATTACAACTTCTAGAGTTATGCCCAGATTCACCACATAACTGACATATATACTTATGTTTAACACTATTTTCATTAATAACTTGTGTTGTTGTTATTGAAGTGTTTTTATTAATAGTACAAAAAGGAACTCTTGATACAGATGTATTTTCTGATTGTTGTAATGGTTGTACATACAAATTAGGATCAGACAAATTGAGAGCACTATTACTGATTTTGCTATAATCGTCTTCTGATGATGCCTTTATTTGCTTGTTAGATAGCCGTTCACGATGTTTACAAACTAAAGGATCTGCAATATTCATATTTTCTATTTTTTCAATAAAATTTTTTTGCATGTAATAAAGCCATCTATCATATCAACAAATTTATCAGCACATCCCAAATCAAGTGCTATATTAAGAGCTTTTTTTACTTTTTCAAACCCATGTGAATATATTACCTTTCTTTGAATTTGATGATTTTTTTTCATTGTAAGAGTATTTGTTACTCTAAGTTGATTAAAAATATAAAAATCATCAACTATGAATTGGTTATTATTAACCTGTTGAAATTGAGTTACTATTTCTACTGAT